CGCGGTCCCTGGGGCCGTCCTGCCCCTCGCAGATCCCGTCGCACCTGTCCTGCTGTGCAGAGTTGGTGGGGAACAGCGGGCGCGCTTCGCGCCCGGGTCCTGGGCCACCCTAGGGCACGGTCCCCTGTGGCCCTGCCCGGCCCGGTGTGGCCTGAACGTCCGCCCTCCTGCAAGGCTGAGGAAAAGAAGTGAATGCACCTCTCCCTGTGTGGACTCCTCTGTGCCCTTACCTTGGATTGATGCACCCCACTCCTCTGCACACATTTTTGCCTATCCAGTGCAACTCTGCCCCTGCTACGAGACACCAACCCTACCAACACCTGGGGAGAGCACCCAGGCTCTTGGGCACAACAGACAAAAACTGCTGGTGGCAACCTGGCCTTTTGCTGGACCTGGCAAACACAGTTAGCCCTTCTCAGTGCGGTTCTAGAGCAAACACTTCAGCCCTGACTGTCAGTCCTTGGAGCTCCTCTCCAACCTCCCCAGCCAACCCCATTTTCGGTTATAGAGTTCAGAGCCAGATTCAGAGATTGGTTACACAGGGAAGAGGAGAGCCACAAGGAAGTCTACAGATGTGATTGGGGTGAGGGTCAACCTGGCTTCTCTGGGAAGCAAGAGCGCATTTGAGGGAGAAACCTCTGAGTGTGCCCCGCTAAAGAAAGTCAGTAGCCTAGGGTGGTAGTGCACCCCTTGTAATTTCAGCTACTCATAGGCAGAAGGAGGATCATCAGTTCCAGGACATCCTGAACCCCTGAGCTACCTCCCCAGTCCAAAAACAAAATCCAAGTATTAAAAGGGCTGGGGTGTAATCCAGTGGTAGGGAGCTTAATCCTGATTTTACACCCTAGTACCGAGGCTGGGCAGCCAATTCACGAGATAGAAGAGCGCGAAGTGTTCGTCTCTCCTTGGCCAGGACCTCCGCGGATAGAAAACACCAAGAGTAGGTAGGGGGTCCTGAATCCCCCAACACATAGGAGACCCACAGCTCTTCGCTTGCCTGCCTCAGAGGACCTTCAGCAGGTGGTCAGTGCCCAGGTGAGAACGGAAGCCCTTTACCCTGGCGGACACCCTCCGCAAAAGCAGCCCGCGCGCCGCCGACACACCTCCGAGCTCCCGGAGCGCGCCCGGCGCACTGGGCCCGGCGGCAGGTGCCTCGCCGCGCAGACTCGCCGGCCAGAGGGACCGGCTCAGGCGCGGGGCCGGCGCGGGGGGGGGTGGGACGGCGACGCGCGTTACCCGCCGGTCCCACTGGCCGCCCTGCACTCTGTGAGGGGCGTGTGCGCGGGCCCGGCACCCGCCGGCCCCATGTTCACCGAGCTGAGGTCCAAGCTGAGCCCCCCGCGAGGCCGCGCCGGGGCTGTGCGCGCTGGCTTAGGGGAGCACCGCGATGTGGACGGTGAGCACGGGCTGGACTGGGAAGCAGGAATGTCGCGGGGCTGCGGGACACGGAACCAAGAGGCAAGGGGGTGGGGGGCTGGACCTTGCGAGCTTCCAGCATCGGCAACTGCGGGGAAGGGGGGTGACCTGACCTAACGGGGTGCGGTGGCCTTTGTCCTGCTCCGCGGGGGATTGGTTGGCCAACCTCAGGCCTTTGATATCAGCGCGCCTTTGGCTTGGGGTGGGGGATGACAGGTCAGGGCTTCTGTGTCCATGCTGGAGGCACACTGGGGTCACCCCTTCCTTCCGAATGCACAGAAAACCCTCCCCAGCCCCGGCAGTGGGGTCGACAAGGGGTTGAGATCACAACCCCAGATTTCCTTTTGGAATTGATGTTGTGGCAGGGGATCCTTCTGTACTGCCAGCAGGAAATGGGCGGGGCTCCGCTGGCCGGGCAGGTGCAGGGCGGCAGAGGCGTTGGACTGGTTCCCCAGAGCTGCTCCTACCCTAGGTCAAAGGCCCTGTGGAAACCTGAGACGACCTGGCCTGCCTCCTGGAAGGTGCAGGTTCAGAATCAATCTTTCCCCATGTACTAGACATCACTTTGGGGCAGTAGCCACACACCTGCTGTCTGACCTTAGACCTCAAATTTAAAGTCACCAAGGGTCCAGTTCAAAATTCCAAAAATGGGGGAGGAAGAAGCTAAGCCTCAGGAGTCTTACTAAGGTTTCAGTAGAATGGGTACACCCATTACTTATACCTCCTTGACACCACCAAACCCTGCCCCAGTGTAGAGGGGATGGCTATCAAGGAAAGAGATCTCATGCTACACCTTGGGGTGGGCCCTGGGAATCTCATTCTGCCTGCCCACCCAGGGCCTGGATGTGTGCAGAGATTTAGGAGAGCCTGAGCCCACCTTCCTTTCTCCCTTCCCCAAGACACCATTTGCCACATTTATGGAGCCCCTCATGTGCTTTAGGGATCCCACCCCAGGTGGGAGAGGTCCTATCAAGACTAGTCACCCTCCCCAGACTTCTGTCAGCAGTGACCCCAGAGGTGGTTGTAACAGCAAAACATAGGATGTATCAAAGTTGGTGTGGGAAGAGGGCTGTGCTGACCAGCCATTTCTAGTGAGCACCTGCCAGTCACACTGTTGTCCTGGTTGGGCCCTGTGGAAGCAGCAGAGCAGGAAAGCCTGGGAGTCCCAGTTGCCAGCTTTCCCAGTTCAGGCCTTTTTGACCATGAGTCATAGTTGGTGAGCTCAGCCAGGCAGGGGACAAGCCTCAAATGCCAGATATGGCTGTATAAACTGGGTGCCTTCACTGGCGACGGGCAGGCAGGAACCTTAACCAGACTTCTCCACAGAGTGCCTCCAATGATACAGGAGCCAGGCTTTTTCCTCAAAGATATGTCCTGTGTGTATGCTGGTCTATGTGACATGTATGAGGCTTGTGTGCATAAGGTCAAGGTGGTCCTGGGATCGCCCCACACCTGGTTATAGGTCTCAGGCTCCCTGGGAGGCATGTCCTCCAATCTAGCAGAACCCATCCTGACTGTCAGTGTGAGGGCTGCAGGCTTGCAAGGGAAGCGGTATTCTCAGCTCTCCATCTTGGGGCTAGGGAGGAGGATCCTTATTTTGCACTTATTCTTCTGCCTTTGGGGACTTGATTTGTCCTCCTTGAGGAATTGGCTCCCTCTTTGGTAGAGGGGAAATAGGTTAGGCAAGGAAGTGGCTCTTGGGGAAAGAGCCTTTGGTCCTGCTCCTGACCACTCTGACCAGGCACCCCTGCACACAGCCACTGCTCACTTCAGCTTCTGCCGGACTCTCCTGGAGCACACAGTGTCAGCCGAAAGTATCCCCTGCCACCTGCCTCGGACGCCAGGCACCAGCCTCACATGGCATGATTCCCGTAGCCAGAGGGCTTCCAGCAGCAGGCCGATCAAACTCCTGCAGCAGCCTGGAACAGAGACCCCCCAGGTACCCACCCACCTACCCCACCCACCTCAGTCCCTACCTTCCCTGCTCTGCCACCCTCCCTCTATCTGCCACCCACTTCCCCTACAGGGCCGGCTGTACTCTGACCACTATGGCCTGTACCACACAAGCCCCTCGCTGAGTGGCCTGACGCGGCCTGTGGTCCTCTGGAGCCAGCAGGACGTCTGCAAGTGGCTTAAGAAACACTGTCCCCACAACTACCTCGTCTACGTCGAGGCCTTCTCCCAGCATGCCATCACTGGTACGGTGGAGTCTGGGCAGGACAGGAGCTGGATGCCCAAAGAGCCTCCTCCCCTACCAAGTGCCTGCAGTCTGCAGTTGTTTCTCCACCTGTCGGTGCTCCTCTGAGGCAACCTTCCCTGGGGTCCTCGGAGTCTCTGTATCTGCACTGTCTTCTGACATCTTCCACTTGGCCTCCATCTGCTGCTTATCATGATTCTCTCTCTGCTTCTCCCTCCAATTCTCTCTGAATCTTTCTCTGAGACTCCCTGTGCCCTTTCTTTTCATTCTGTGTCTGTGAGTGTCTTTGTCTTTGGTACTGGGAATTGAGCCCTAAAATGCCCTACCACTGAGCTACATCCCAGCCCTTTTTATTTTTTATTGTGAGACAAAGTCTGGCTAAGTTATCCCGGCTGACCAGGAACTTGTGATCTGCCTCAGCCTCTGATAGCCTCTGTTGGACCCTCTTCCCTCCCTCAGGCCGAGCTCTTCTGCGGCTAAATGCAGAGAAGCTACAGAGGATGGGGCTGGTGCAGGAGGCCCAGAGGCAAGAGGTGCTGCAACAGGTGCTCCGCCTGCAGGTGCGAGAGGAGGGTCGGAGCCTGCAGCTGCTCAGCCAAGGTCAGTGGGAGGAGCCAGCATGGGGGGGGCACTGAGAGTACAGGTAAGTGGCTTAACTGCAGGAGGGTGCTTGGGAGCCCTAGTAAGGGCCATCCTGGGATGTGGCAGGGACCTGCCTCTCCCTTACTTCCATGCATCCTACAGCTTCCTTTGGAAACATATCCTAGCTGCTGCCAAGGCTTGAACCAGACCCCAGCACTGTGACCAGAGCCTACGGCCAAGGATGAGGACAAGCTGGCCCCACAGACCCTCTCGAACCCCACAGGATACCATGGTGGCCAAGTCCAGCCTAGTGGACAGACCTCCACCTTCAAGCACCTGTGGTTGGGCAGCCAGGCCATGGCCTGGGCTGCTTATCTGTGACCCCTCCTCCTGGGACATGAGCCCACTCCCTGGCACTGCTGGCAACATGTGGGGCAGCTGCCTGGAGCCAGAGTGGGGTTCAAATGACCCCCAGACTCCCAGGGAGTCTGTTTATTTATGTTCCCTTTACCGTGTGACTGTCCCCCTTTGCCTGAATCATGCATCTCTGTTCACTTGTCCAGTTCCATATCCTCACAGCATTGCCAGGCCAGCCACACTGTGGGACAAACTGCCTTGGCTCCCTTTGACTTGTGTTTCTCCTAGCTCCTGCCAGAACCCAGCAGGCACAACCTATGTCCAGAGTAACAGTCATCAGCAGGGCCAGGCAGGGACCCATGCAGAGCACCTTGCTAATTCTATCGCCACCCTGGCCAAACCTGTATCTATTTATGAGCACTGAGGCTGAGAGGCCCTGGTTGCCTCAGCCCCGAAGACAGAGCACAGAACAGTGAGGACAGCAGCCCTGTGCAGGCAACTCCTCACCCTGAGCCTGCTGGAGTCAGTGTGCTCTAGGCCCACTTTTGGGAAAGTCTGGTTTTAAGCATCGTCTCTGTGTATTTGCACTTAAGAGAACATCTTCAAGAAACCTTCACACTTGCTGCTTTCCCAAGAAAACCTGGATTCATAGGAGAGACTGTCCTGAGGACTCTGCTCCACCTCTGCCGCCAGACGTCTAAGCAACCCTTCCCTGGGTAGTCTGGGGCTGGTGCTGCCCGGCAGAGGGACAGTGAGGGCAGCCCTGGCAGCCCACAACCTCTTGCCCTCTGCCCCTTCCCACACCCACGGGAACTCTTGACAATCTCAGGGACAGTTGAGGCTAAGCCTCCAGTCCTCTCTCTGTGACCTGAGCTGGCCTCAGGACTCAGGATTGGTCACTGCAGGTCCTGAGTGAATTTGGGCAACTGGCCTGATGCCTCCCGTCCCATGTGTCTGCACCCACAGGGAGCCTCCTTGTCATGTCTGGCTGCCCTGAGTATCCCCTAAAACCTTGTGCTATCAGTCTTCAGCCAGAAGGCCCATCTCTGCCTTTTCCCCTCCTGTCTTGCCCACCCTGTGATCCTGTATTGTCTTCCTTGTTTTTCATTCACTTTTTTTATATTCTAACAAAAAATCAGAAATAAACCTGTTCTCAAGTGCCAACAGTACTAGGTCTGGGAGGAAGGGGTGTCCAGCCCAAGAGCCTGGCTCTGGTACCACCAGGGGGCAGTGGTATCCCTTCCTGGAGGGGCTGCTGGTCAATCCCAGGGCACCTGGAACAAGAGGCATCAGGTAGGCACTCTTGGTGAATGGCACCCAGTGATGGACACAGGCCCCTGACATGCTCAGAGCAACAGCCGTGATACGTGGTGTGTGAGGTTCCTGTAACAAAGGAGCATCCACTGGCTGAATTCAAAAAGAAAACTTTGATTCAGAGTCTAGGGGTTACACAGTGGTAGAGTATGTGCTTAGCATGCTCAAGGCCTTGTGTTGGATCAGAAGGGAGAAAGGGATTCAGTTCTGAAGACTAAATCATATTCCCTTTGTGAGTGCAGAAGGGCACCTTTCCTTGCTCTTCCAGCCTCTGGTTGCTATCTGGGATTATAGGAATCAAGGACACACCACTCCCATCTGTTTCTGTGGTCATATCACCTTTCTTCTGTCTCTGAAATCTCCCTATCTCCTTCTTGTAAGGATGATTGGATTGGGGCCCAGCTGGGTAACCCAGGTTGACTTCATCTCAGGATCCTTATTCATATCTATAAAGACCCATATTCCAAATAAGGAATGTTCACTCACACATTCAACACTCTGACACGATCATCTGTAGGGACTCACTACCCAACCTTCTACACAGGGCAGTACCCTGACAAGCAGCACATATACCGTGGCACCCACTCATCAACCAGATACATAGCAGGAACAGGAACACAGATGTAACCCACAAATGCAATGACATAGCCAGACACGCACTGTGTGCTCCAACACACAAACACACTGTGTATTTGGCCAGACACAGTGATATGCACAGAGATATTTAACAACACCCCACATACATACAATTACCTAAACATACAAGTACTCGTGCATAACAATGACCCCCTAACATACAGAAACAAGAGAGCACAGCCCCAATACAAACCAAATTATATAACACCCCAACATCTAGATACACATGAAAAACGGTTGGTCCTCACATCCTGCATGCAGGTACTCACAAATGAACATGCCACAGCCTGGACAACATGCTAAGATTCAGATACATACCTACCATGCTTCTGACATCAAGGTGCCTAGATACTGACACTGACACTCAGATATAGCTCTGATCTTGCTTGGCACAGAACACACAGATATGCCATGACAGTGATGTTTAAGATGGATGCTTCCTGACCCGTGATCACTTGGACACACCTGTGGACGCTGACACATCCCATTTGTACAGGGGAGCTGACAGCCTTGGACACACCTCAGGAAACACACACTGACCCCTCCCAGCATCCTGCCCCTAGGGTGTGGATGCTCAAGGAGGGCTTTGAGCAACTCTTTCCTTTTCCTCCTATGGTAACTTGGGCTGGGGCAGCACCCTGGTCTCTCTGGCTCAGATTTCCAAAGGGAAGACTGACTGGCTGACCTTTTCACATAGGGCTCAGCACTTTGCCTCTGCCTCCAGGCCAGTGTTCTGAGCAGGTCTCAGGCAAAGCAGATATCAAGGTCCCTTGAAAAGAGGTGGACATCAAATCTGCTGACAGCTCCTCTGCCCTGCCCCAGAGCAGTGCAGGAGAGCCTGCTCCAGGGGGAGCAGGGCAAAGGGTGCTGGGCAAAAAGGAGGCCCCAGGGAAGGAGATCTATCTTGTAACTCCATACCCCAAGTAACAATTTCCAGCCCACACTAGTTTTGTGGAATTCAAAATGCTTGTGGAATGTAAAAAGGGGGCATTACAAACTTTTAGAAGTCGGGCTTTAATTGTAAAAGTAATATATGCACATGATTAAAAATATTTCAATGTCTCCTCTCTGGGGAGTTTACTCCCGGGGAGAAGGGTGATGTGAGCAGGAGACAGCGGTACTCCATCCTCTTAGAGGAGACTAGTGTCTCTTGCCTGCCTCCTGTGGGGGCTCCTGTCAACTCTACCTCCCCACCAGCTCCCACAGGGAGAGTCACTCCTCTGCCAGCTTCATTCATTCACTCATTCCCCATCACCCCTGACTTGACATCAGCAGACACCTAGGCTCCGGTCCTAGGGCCATCACGCACAGCGCTGGAAAAGGTTGATCCAATGGTCAGATACCCCCCAAAAGCTACAAGGCCCTGACGGAGGCCACAGGGCCAGCTGGAGAGAGGCCCGATCTTGCCCGCCAGCGGGGGTGGGGGGGTGGGAAGGGGTGGAGGAGGTCAGGGTCCTGCACACCTAGGCTTCTCTGCACTCCCCCGCGGCACCTGCCGGACTAGTCCGTGCGCCCCGGAATGTGCCTCAGTTTATCCCACTGTCCACAGACGCCTCCCGTCCTGCGGACGGGACG